CCTAGGTATTCCGATTAGTTATTCAAACTTGACTTTCCATCTGCATGTTCCCAATTGGAGTAGTGATGGGCACCGTCAATTCGGGGTGGGTAAGCGGGGATTTAGTGTTTTCTTTGCTAACTAGTTTCTGGAGTATGTATGTAAATACACTTCTCTACTTTCTAATTTCTTCCAAAAAAGTATTCATTATGCAAGCGTCTCCTAACAGAAATCATCTCAAGGAACTTTTTCTTTCATAATTGTTGTTTTGTTTTTTTAAATATACAGGTATTGCCTTCTCTAAGAGAGAAGCATGATGAATTTATGTTACGAGAGCTCGTAAAAAGATGGTCAAATCATAAAATCATGGTTAGATGGCTGTCTCGGTTCTTTCATTATCTTGATCGGTATTTCATCGCTCGGAGGTCACTTCCAGCACTAAATGAAGTGGGACTGACTTGCTTTCGAGATCGGGTAAATTATGGACTAATGCTATTTTTTGTAAAGAATATTTTTTCTGCCTCACCTATTATTTTGTGTTATGGTGTTTGTTGGTTGTGATCTGAAAAAGGACTGTCTAGAGGATTACATGTTGTTGCTTTTCTCTTTTTACGATTATGGAAGTAAACTAACTTCTGAATGCAGTTGAGTTATTTTAGAATAATGTTGATATGTATCATCTTGTTTCAGGTATATCATGAGTTAAATGGAAAAGTTCGAGATGCTGTTATATCTCTGGTTTGTCCTTGTCACTATTTAAATCAGCAACATTCTTTAAATTTGGTTCTAGTTGACAAATCATTGTCCTTGCCTATTTATCAGATTGATCAGGAGCGTGAGGGAGAGCAAATTGATCGAGCTTTGTTGAAGAATGTTCTAGATATTTTTGTTGAAATTGGGATGGGGCAGATGGATTATTATGAGAATGATTTTGAAGCAGCAATGCTCAAGGATACCGCTGCTTATTATTCCCGGAAGGCATCTAACTGGATTTTGGAAGACTCGTGTCCAGATTATATGCTGAAAGTAATTACCTGTTACATACCATGTTGTGGTTTTAAATGTCACCCCATTCTTCATGGCTCTGGAATCTAATTTGTTACTGTTACTGATCTAATCATCAGAGTGAGGAGTGTTTAAAGCGAGAGAAGGACAGAGTCGCCCATTATCTCCATTCAAGTAGTGAAATGAAGTTGCTTGAGGTTTGATTTTGTTTTTCGAGTTTTATGCTGCTATCATATTTCAACTCTAATATTGGATAGTATGGTAGTAGTATTCTGAGCTATCTAGCTTCAACTTTGAATTCTTCCATGGTTTTTATTATTTCGTGAAATATACTGTATTTAATTGTAACTAATCTTTCTTTTTGGCAGAAAGTACAACATGAGTTGTTGTCTGTGTATGCTTCTCAACTGCTTGAAAAAGAGCACTCTGGATGTCATGCATTACTTAGAGATGACAAGGTACTTTTTAACATAAGTAAATCATGGATATCTTATTTGATTAAAACTGCTGCCGTAATTCATGTGTTCTTTTCTTTTTCGTTTTTTGAATTCAATTAGGTGGAAGATTTGTCAAGGATGTATAGACTTTTCTCCAAAATACCTAAAGGCCTAGAACCTGTTGCTAATATATTCAAGCAGGTTTGTAGCCATTTTGCATCCATAAATTTTTATTCCAATACCTTAACAGAGCATTATTTTTCGACTTTTTTGGCTCCATATCCGTGCATTAAATATTTGTGGTATCATGGATGCAGCATGTTACTGCTGAAGGTACAGCTTTGGTTAAGCAAGCAGAAGATGCTGCAAGCAACAAGAAGGTAGGCTTGAATGTTTTGCATGGATCTTACTCTTCTAGGATTTCTCCCTTGAGGTTTGTAGTACTTGACTAGGTTGAATACAGATAAATTGTGTTCAGCCTTTAATACAAGTTGAAGCAACACATCAGCACTTCAAATTTAATGGTGATTACTTTCTTATATGCAGAATTTAATGTAGCATGAATTCAAAATTTATTTTTAGTTGAAATCAAAACAGTAGGCTTTCAGAAAGCTACGGAATCCCGTATGCTTTAGACTTTCAAGGTTCCAACTTTTTCATTGCTCTTAGAAAATGAGAGATTATTGTATCCTAGAATTCCCTGAGAAGTACTTTTTTTTTTGGGGGGGGGGGGGTTAACTGGGAGGGCTCGAACCCGAGGCCTCTCACTTATACTCCCTGAGATGTACTGTTGAATGCATTGTTAGTGGATGTGTTGGTCACTCGCCATGGTTTCTTACATTAACGTTCTGTTGCAGGTGGATAAGAAAGATGTGGTTGGTATGCAGGAACAGGTACATATTGACGTGTCTTTTCATTCGGAACGTAAATTTGGTTTCATTTGATAGAAAGACTTATGTTTGTGGCCTTCAGGTTTTTGTAAGGAAGGTGATTGAACTGCATGACAAGTACCTCGCTTATGTGAATGACTGTTTTATGAATCATTCTCTTTTTCATAAGGTTTGTACCAATGAAAATCATTGAATTTTGTCCCGTTGTCATGATTCAATTGCTATAATATGAAATTTTCCCCTCTAATGTTGAACTCTAGGCACTCAAGGAAGCATTTGAAGTTTTCTGCAATAAGGGTGTTTCTGGAAGTTCAAGTGCTGAACTTCTTGCAACATTCTGTGACAATATTCTGAAAAAAGGTGGCAGTGAGAAGTTGAGTGATGAAGCAATAGAAGAGACATTAGAAAAGGTAAATAACACGTCTTACTATATTGAATTCTATTCTATTACAAGTTGCAGGATGTTGCAACTAATTCCATCACTTCACAGGTAGTAAAGCTACTTGCGTATATCAGTGACAAGGACTTATTTGCAGAATTTTACCGGTTAGTGATCTGGTCTCTGAGATGGATGGTGATTATTGAGTTTTTAGAAATTGCACCAGTTTCCTTTTATGACTTTTTGGTGTAACAATTCACTGACAGGAAAAAGCTTGCTCGGCGGCTATTATTTGATAAAAGTGCCAATGATGAACATGAAAGAAGTATCCTGACCAAGTTGAAGCAACAATGTGGTGGTCAGTTCACTTCAAAGATGGAGGGGATGGTAAGCTGGCTGTCCATATATTTCTTTTCGAATCAAACGTTAGTGCTCTATGAAAATCCTTGATAATTTTTTTTTTACTCTTTTTTCTCTCTTTTTTCAGGTTACGGATTTGACATTAGCTAGGGAAAACCAAGCCAACTTTGAGGAGTATCTCAGTAATAACCCACAAGCAAATCCCGGAATTGACTTGACAGTCACTGTCCTTACTACTGGGTTCTGGCCAAGTTACAAGTCTTTTGATCTTAGCCTCCCAGCTGAGATGGTATGTTTCCATATGTTGTATATTTTTGGCTTCTTTTCAATGTTACTATTTAGCATCAACCTTTTCTGGTTTACTTCAAATCTATCTCAGGTTAAGTGCGTTGAAGTGTTTCGAGAGTTCTATCAAACAAAGACAAAGCACAGAAAACTCACATGGATATATTCATTGGGGACATGTAACATCAATGGAAAGTTTGAGCCTAAAACTATGGAGTTGATTGTAACTACCTATCAGGTACCTTCGCAACAAGCATATTTTAGGGTAGCTCATGGTTTTTGTAGTTCCTATATCACAGAAAGTGAATGTTCCTCTTCCTGATTTGCAGGCTTCTGCTCTGCTGTTATTCAATGCATCAGATAAATTAAGCTATCAAGAAATTATGGCTCAATTGAACCTTTCTGATGATGATGTTGTGAGACTGTTGCATTCCCTTTCATGTGCCAAGTATAAGATTCTTAACAAGGAGCCCAATACGAAAACAATCTCTCATACAGATGTTTTTGAGTTCAACTCAAAGTTCACTGACAAAATGAGGAGGATCAAGGTACTCTTGTTACCTTGTACAGGAATATCCTGTTGACTACTACATACCTTGTGGTCATACTAGTTCTATGTTGGTAAAGTATCTTTTGTGGATATTCAGATTCCTCTCCCTCCCGTGGATGAGAAGAAAAAAGTAATTGAAGATGTTGATAAGGATAGGCGATATGCTATTGATGCATCAATCGTCCGCATCATGAAGAGTAGGAAAGTTTTGGGCTACCAGCAGTTGGTGATGGAGTGTGTTGAACAGTTGGGCCGCATGTTCAAGGTATTGTTATTCTCCTGCTTAATATGTTGCCTCGGAGCTAACCAAATGGTATTCTTAACTTACAATTTTGCACTGCACAGCCTGACGTCAAGGCAATCAAGAAGAGGATTGAAGATTTGATTACTCGGGACTATCTGGAGAGGGACAAGGATAACCCGAATTTGTTCAAGTACTTGGCATGAATTGTCCAGGCGATCAACCCTATGTGCTACTCGCTATCCCTGATCGATGCGAGAGGGTGTGCATTCTATCGTGCGTCCATTGGCCTGAAAAATTGACCACAAACTTCTGTAAATGTTTCCAAATATTTAATTACCTCTTTTTTGATGCTTGCTTACAATCAGGAGCTTGAGATTTTCTGTGTACATTAAGCCTTCAAAAATCAGACGTAGACAATCGCTACATTTACATGTCCTTGTTGGAAAAAAGTGTAATATCTGTAGTTTTAGCAGTGAGACTACCCTTGCTGGGGCAGTTGTACTTTTCCAATCTTTATTGGTGCAGGAGTTGGACTTTTTCAGTTTTATTTGCGGCTTCCATGTGTCAACAGTCTTCGCCGGCTTCCATCTTCTGTAGTTATTTTTTTTTCATCTTCTGTAGTTAATGTAAAGGTTCATCGGAAGCCTGCACTTGCGAGAAACTGTAAGACCTCCAGTAACAACTGAATTTTCATTTCAAGTTGGTCCTTCCTGTTAAGCCGCATGCCATGTTTATGCTGCTCGGTCCTTCACCGTCCCTTCTATGAAGGAACAAAATGAAGAGTAAAGAAAGGAAACAGAAAAAATCAATAGGTTGATTGTATCTTATTATCTCAGCAATGATATGGCGCGCACAAGTTGGTACCGTGCGACTTGTCTCCTATGTCGTTGGTGTCCGTCCACGATTCATTCCACATTTCTTTAGTCTTAATTATCCAGGTAAACGTGATAATGTTTGTATTCAAAACATTGAATGCAAACCTTCTACCTTCCACTGCTCATTTCCCAGAGCCTGTCCACCATATTTGCAGTCCTGAAAGGAAGTTTTTCAAACTTTGCTGCATATTGTACATGGAAAATGTCAAATTTTAATTCCCTAAATTAATAGCAAATGGTCTTTTGGCACGCAGCTTTGACGTCCGTCTCCTGTAAGTGAGAATTGAATCATTTGGGGTGGAATGCACTATTATGCTTCCCGCAGACGGCTCTCGCGTGCCTCTCCTGTAAACTGGAAATTGGGAGAGATTGTGTCCCCCGTCAAGATTTTCCTCACTTCCTTTCCTGTCGCAGACTCAAATGTGTGGACGGTGTCATCTTCTTGGCTCCTAAGGTGAGCGTCCAGCAAGCCAAGTGGGTGAATGTTCCAATACTTCACCTTTTCCTGGAAAGTTAGTTCGCCTGGGCCTGATGACAAACAGCAGTGGTCAACTGCCAAACCCATATTCCTTGTAATGCCACAAAGTACAAACAGCAGTCGAGAACATGTTCAGTGAAGCAGCTGCATCCATCCTACTGTGGTTGGCTTACTGCAATCAAATAAAGAAAGAGGATATAGCCAAGTATTCCCCTGCCTTTATCAAGCAATACCCAAAAAAAAAAAAAAGGTAATATAGGATTAAATCCCTTTCACAGCATTAGCCTTTCGAGAGCTCCCAGAGTTTCAATCCTCTTCTTTCCGAGTATCAGCTGAGAACGCCCTCTCTTTCTTTCTTTGTCTATATATATCTACACATGAATTTTAGTTTATTTATATGGTTTAATTGCTTGAGTTATTTTTTGTTCGGAAATATATCTATGCTGATGAAGCAAATGAAAAGTCTGGTGATTGGGATTACTCGTCCGATGTTTACTGTTTCTTAATCATGAACGTTTTGCATATAAATTGAAGTTTGTGTGCTAAAAATGGAGTCTTTGAATGTCCAATTGCGTAGGTCATGAATCCGCTCTCGTCTTTGGTCCATCCTGTCCGAAAGGTAGCTTTGAAAATGCGCAATTAACATCTTTAATAATGGGTTTCCCCGAGTTTTTTAAAGTTCATGATAGTCAAAAGGATCCTTGCTGTTCTATACTTAGTGGGATAAGTCACGCAGCACTCAGCTATGGCATGTCTATAGAAAGGCTTGTAGAAGTTGTAAATTATATGTAATGAAGCACCACAAAATGCATTTACGTTCCAAATGATTATAGTTATTGAAGCAAAAATGACGGCCGTCAGCCACAATTTCAAGTTGGGAAGCAAACCTTGCAATTGCACTCGCATAAAGCTTTCATCTTTTGCAGACCAAAATGTAGTTGCCATTATTTTATTGAGATGGTGTTTGGGATTTGCAAGTTATTCAAGTCTTCTAAGCTTGATTCTTGGGTCCCATTAGCTGAGATCATTCCTGAATCCCATAAACCTGAATGTTGAGTTTGAAAGAAGTGTGATTAGGTGAAGTTTTCATAATAATGGTTCAAACATGTTAGAAACATTACAAAGCTTGCGTGAGCATTCACCAATCAGTTATAGTCTTAGTGGGTTGTCAATTCATGGAGTCGAGGACCAGTATTTTCTGTATAGTTGTTTAAATACATGGTTTCCAGCCATTGCGGGGGTCCATGGCTAGTTGTCAAGAAACTGTAAAATTATCTCATGCCAAAATTAACTAGTCGAAGTAAAAATCTTCTTGATGGATGGAAAGTGGAAACTAAGAATCAAGAAAAACAAAGAGACAGCCGCCCTGTCCCAGGCTTCCAACCCCACCTAGAGGTAAAGAATGATGTAACGATGTGACTGAGTGCATTAGTAGTAGTTTTGATGGTGAGGAAATGGGCGATGAACAGAAGAGTTCTAAAGGACTTTGAGGTTGCATTCTTGGTTTCCTCATCCTTGGTTTAATGTATTATGCATATGCTTTTCACTTCTAATAATGATCTATTGAGGCAGATAAATTGCTCAGCTGGCTTTTGCACTTGAGGAATAATCTCAGATTTTTCATTACCGTAAGAAAACCAATTTCTTCTTTCCCAGCAAACATACGAGCACTTCTGAGCTCCAAGTTTTGCTTTCGAACGGGGAATCCTAAAGCACTGTTGGCGTTTTGATGTAGTGGTGGATGATTTAACCTGAGCTAGTCATACTGGAGAACACACCTTCTTTTCTACATCACGTCCTCTTTGCTAAAGTATCATGGAATTCTCATTAAGTTCTCCACTAAGAGATTGCATCAGCAATGTCTTCCTCATTTGCAGACCATATGCTTTGTTTAATCATAAAACACACTCAATTTCCATAATGACACTGCAAGATCTTTAGCCTTTCTTTGCTAATACTCTGGTATCAAACTGCTTTTCAGCCCACATGGACGACTGCTATTGATTGCATTGTTCTCTTTGTTTACCTGCTGACTAATTCTGAATTCTGTTGGTTTGCTGTACTAGTTTCTTAATTCAATTTGATTGGCAAAAGTTAATAACAAGTTGCCTCGTTACTGCTTTGACATAGCAATAATGTGTGCCTCAGAGACACAAAGGCGTAGTCTGTGGGCTCTCCTTAGTCCTTTCTCCCCCCCGCACTCAAGAAAAAGGTATCTTCCCTTGAACAATGGAAAGCCGATGATTTTGTCCGTGCTTGATGCGAATCTACTAAAAACTAGGGGTGGTGGAGCTCTGTGGTTCCTCTTCATGATTACATCATGTTAGAATAATCTGCTAGAGAGAACAGTAAAAGTGACTCTTTTAAGTTTGAGCAACACAATTGAAAGTAGGGATGGCAATAGGGTGAGGTTAGGAGCAGGGACAGTTCTCTCACCTCATATTTAAACCCTTGCTTCCAGTACCCTGCCTCCTCCCCATAGCTTCATGTGTGCCCTGCGATTGGCTAATTATAGTTTTATTTTTTATTTTGACATTATTTATCTACGTGTGTAACATCAATAACAATTTTGTAAATCATTCTTTTAGATTTTTGGCAAAATATTCAATGTGAGCTTTCTAATCATTTTGATCTTTTGAATTCATTTCTTCACATTTAGTTGCAAATCTAAACTTATAACTATCATATTTATTTTTATTTTTTTGGTGAATAACTTGCAATATGTGAAAAGATTCAAGTAAACTAGAAATAGTTAAATCATCATTTCATCATGCAAATTATGATATTTTTAGTTATAAAATTATTATGTATATGCCTATATTATTGATGTGTAATAACAATACACGCGCGCGCGCACACACATATATATATATATATGTGTATGTATAAAACTATATATAAATATTTTTTTTAAAAAAAAATTTATTATACCCCGCTCCATCCCTGCCCCATTTGAAACGGGGAAAAAAAATTTCCCCCCACCCGACCCATTACTTCCCCGCGAGACAGGCACCCCCTAATTGAAAGTGAAGGCACTGCAGTAAGAAAAGTTTCTCTGCACAAGTGGCCAATGGCATATTTATTACTACTAATCAATAGGGTCATACTCATACATATAAGTTGCAAATGTACAGGGCTATCCACTCAACAGTTTTTAGTAGTACAGCACATACAACTTGTACTTTGGGTCATTCCATTCACAAGTCCTAACGAAACCAATTTTATGACATAATGCTATGTATATGGTCCTTTGCACGATGTAGTAGTATTCAAACTATGCAAGGTGTTTTTGGAATTAGTTAGTGGTATTGATTTTAGCAAATTCCAGTGCTTTCTTCCCCTGCAGCTTGTTGGTTACATAGTTCTTGCTGTACTCTCCATGGTTGTATCTTCTGTACTTGCAGGGCTCGTTCTCATCCACCAGTTCTGGCATTGGTCCAACTTCTAGATCATAACTAGGTGCATAAAATGTGACAATTGAGAGTCTGTCTTTTTCTTTGTGAGTGACTGCTCTGTGTTCTACACTCTTGTATCTGCCATTTGTTAGAACCTGTTTAATTACAAAAGAATGGCACATTAGATTTGTAAATCAATAAGTAAAACTAAAAGAAAAGGACATGATATGATCACAATCTTTTACCTCTATGGTGTCACCAATATTGATCACTAATGCATTGGGAATTGGCTGGACAGGTACCCAGGTATTGTCTTTGAATATCTGAAGGCCAACTGAACTGCCCTTTCCTTGTTGCAACACTGTAAGGGCACTTCCATCTGAATGAGGACTCAAACCCAAAACAAGATCAGGTCTAGGGCATGCTGGATAATAGTTCATTCTCACTGCTTGTACAGCTGCTCCGAACATGTCTTCGAAGACATTCTCATCCAGAGATAGACCGATGGCTATGTACTTTAGCAAATTCTTGCATAGTTTCCTTATCTCTCTGGAATATGCTTCCAGAGTCTCACTGAAAACAGAACAAGATAAATCTTATCACCCCTTCTGAGATAAGATTAAATTCAGGGCTTAAAGCTTTTTGTTCATGAAGTAATGCAGTTACCTAAAGGTGGCTGGCTTTGTAGGCCACAGGTTTGGATTTCTTATAAAATGGGGCTCCAGTCCAAGAGCAAACATGTTGCACCAGTCTAGCTTCTGGTCCTCCGAGAAAACGAAAGCCTGCCCATATCCTTGAACAGTTCCAGGTAGCATTGGATACTTCTGTTTCTCCTCCAAAGGCAGCATGAAGAATTCCATGGCCACCTTTTCTAAGCTTTCGACTAAGGATAAGTTAACTTCATGGTTTATCACCTATACAAGTCAAAATGGTTATTAGCCCCTGTTATAAATAAAATGAACAAAAACAAGGTAGAGATTCATAATACATAGATACCTGGAAAAATCCCCAGTCTTCACAGGATGCTGAGAGCTGTAGCAACTCAGCTCGGAATTCATCTTTACTGCCTTTTTGGAGATTTGATAAATCAATGACAGGAATATTCTTGCAAGGAGTAGGATTGGTCATGAAAAGTCTCGGCCTTTCTATCCTGTCTCGGACAAATCTCTGAGGAATGCGTGATGGTATGGTCTTCCTCAGTTCTTGGACATCATCAATGTGGCCAACACTAATGGGAGAAACTGGTACAGGAGCCATGGTACTATTGTTTGGAGGGGACTAACTTATCTTTGCTAGGTACCTTGTAGTATTGAACTTTGCAATGCCAATTATTTATAGGGAGAACAAGCAAGAAAATTCATGGATCTTTAATGCGCATAGAATTGTATGGTGGGGCCAAGCGAACGCACTTTATGAAATTTAGTCTTCCATGTAAATTCCTATTTGGGCTAGTTAGGATCACATAACCATCCTATCGCCAAGTTGCAACATTTGGCCCTGTTGAAAGATTTAAAACCAGACTGAAGTAAAAAAAAAAAAAGCAACATTTCACAGCCGCAACTTGCTGCAGGATTACAAAGAAAGGTGCATAACATAACTTTTTCGGGGCAAGTTTAGGTAGAAATGCAGAGAAGTAATTGTGCAAATTCAATTCTTTAGGGACAAACTAACTATATACTCGAAATCTCTTCCAAATGAAAATGGCAGTGGTATAGTTTTTTTGGGGGGGGGGGGGGGGGGGGGGGCTCTGCAGACCATATATAGTGAGTCTGTCATCATCCCTCTGCTCTCCTTCCTTCCTCACCTTCTGTAAGATAAAGCCTCAGGCTTTTTAGCTTTAGATGAATCACAAAAGAACAAGCCATATTAATTAGCACATTGAGCTCAGACTGGTAAGAGAAAAGGGTTTACGTTTTCTATTTCCATTTCTGTCTTTGTCCGGAAAATGGGGCTATTTTCTGGACTTTTGGGAAGCAATTGCATAAGCTTAATGTTAATGTGTAAAAATTGTTATCACTGCATACATGGGTGCATGTATACCACCGATAGTTCCTTGCTTGCTTGCTTTAATGGTTCAAGACGG